AACCACTTTCCTTAGCCCAGGGTGAAGAGTGCCCCTCTGGTCTGATCCCTGCCCTGCTGTTGTCAGGTCCTCTCATTCAGAGTTACAGATGGATACGCTGACTTGTTAACTCCACTCAGCTGCAGTCTGCTGTTAACATCCTGAATCATTTCTTCATAACTTCACTCGGGTCTCTCTCATATTTCTTACTGTTAAAAGGTTTTTTCTTGCTTGCTTCCTTTTAGTTGTTAGATTTGAACATTGGTGCAGAGCTCAGACTGCAGCTAAGTGTTAGCCTAATTTCTGTTAAAGCAGCCTTTATATTTCCAGAGACTTGTTTACCTGCATTATTTAGACGTTTCTCTGTGTTAAAAGGTTGTAGCATAAAGTCCAATAAAGGTGGGTTAACGTATTGAAAAAGATGTTCTATGAACAGTAAATCTCTTCAAGTTTAGTTTAAATGCAGGATGGTATGGAGCAGTTTAAGCTTGTTTGTTCGGGAGAGAGAAGTAGACAAGCATGCACCCTCTGCCTCCCCCCCGTAGCACTCAGAACAGGCTAAAAGAGGTCGCCGTTGGCTGTTTCTGCTTCTGGAAACCTTGAATTGGCTGAACAGATTCATCCCCTCCACCCTCTCTCACTCCCCTCCCACTGTAGCTCGCTCTCCTTCTGTCTTTCTCATGCACCCTTTCAGAAGAAAAGAACTAATCTGCTGCTTCAGCATGTCCTTCAACCCCTCTCTTGTCAAATGAAACTGCAGCCTGTATCTTCTCAACGTAGCCTGCTTAGTCAGATCGACTGTAGCCGTTTGTGACGCCGTATGTAGAGAACTGAACCCAAACCACGTAGCTGTATAGGCTCTCTGGGGATCTCGGTTCTCGCTTTCCCTACTGGTCTCTTTCTTGGCTTTGTTATAAATCAGTTAACCTTGGCCAATTATTTTCTTAATCGACTCCACATCACCTTCTGATAGCTGTTTTACTTAGAAGATAGCAGGACACCATCTATTCGCTTTGGACTCTTAACTAAAGGTGAAATAATTCACTAATATTCAGTTCTTTTGATTCCATATTTGTAAATTTGTAATTTACAAAACCTTGTATGACTAATTAGTTTGGACTTTGAGCAGTCATGATGGCTGAAGGTCTATTTCTTTTTGAGTGAAAGATTTTAGTCATCCTCCAGCTAAAGATGGGGACACTAGTGTTAAAATGTTGAGTTGGTTCTCTACATACATACATGTTCTGGGTGGCTGGATGGTGGGACCATTATTGCCCAGCAGCTATTTGTCTTTGTCTGTCCTCCTACTTCCCTAACAGAAATAAACAGATGTCCATCTAATAGACACCTGTAGTCCAGCTTGATTAGAGTAGCCAGTAGCAGTCTAACAATAGTTATTCCTCAGGCCTCATGTAGGGCCTCCAACACATGAGTAAGGTCTGCCTACTGCAGCCTGTTTCTTTTCATTTATTGATTTAAAATCTGGACTGTATTGATCTTCGCCTATCAGGAATGGTCCCATCCGTCAGCCAGTGAAATAACCCCGAGGTCAGTTTTTGTTTTGTTTTTACAAACGTGGCGTCTCTGCCTGTGCTCTTCAGGAGCCCATCGCCGACTGTTCAGCTGAAGTCTGACTCAGGGATGTCTTTCCACAGGTGGACAAACTTGAAGCCTCTGAGTCTCTGAGGAAACAGGAGGAGCAGGCCACAGACTCACAACCCATTGTTTACGGTAGGAGCGGCTCATTTTTTTATCTCTCTTCCCATCCATCTCTTCTTCTGTTCTAAGCGTTCAGTCTTCTGTTGTTGCAGGCACACCCCAGCTAATGCTCACAGCAGGGCCCAACATGGCCGTGCCTCCACAGCAGGCCTATGGCTACGGCTACACGGCTGCACCAGCCTACGGCCAGCCGCCACAGGCCGGCTTTGGTTACGGCATGTGAACAGCCAGCCTCCCAACCGGCACAATCTGACCTTCCATCTGCCCTCCCTTTGTGTTCCTCACCAGCTTCCCATGGTCTTCTACTCACTGCAAGGGCCACAAGCAAGCAACAGCCCACTCTTGTTTTGAGTTTACTTCCTTTTTCTTTCTCTTTATTTATTTTTCTAGATTATCCTATAAATGGAGAAAACATTTTACAGCACTGAAGGACTTTATTTTGTATTTGTAAGTTGTTGGACCACCTGTTTTTCACATTCCATATTTATAACTACTTATTTAGACCTTTTTGTTTGAATGTTACTGTCATGTTTTTTTTTAAATCGGTTTGTGCAGAAGTGGACTTGCTAAAGCTCAGCATTGAACCTTTGAAGTAGGTGGAGGAGCATTGGATTTTGCACTCATGAAGAAATTAATGTAGACGAGCTCTTACTTTTGATGTACTGAACATGTGAACAGCCTCCATTGTCTTGTCTGTAAATGCATTTCATTATTGTATATTCTGAGGAGAAAAAAAAAGGTAACATATAATATTAGATATTGCCATTTCAATGGCTATAGCTAGCAACACTAAGTAATGATAGTATATTCTGCACAGGCGTGTAGCTTTATGGAGTTTTAAATGCATACAGACGTATGTCACTGTGTGACTGAGGGTGTGTGTGTGTGTGTGTGTGTCTGACCTGAGGGTCTAAACAAGAATTTTAAGCCTCCTCCGAACCTCTAATGTTCACTCCATCCTCCTAGATGTTGGCTCTTCTTTGGCTCCATATATTGAGGTGACCTTTTGTGCCGTGTACAGTGCTTGTGTGAGACTGTATCTGTGTATGTGCAAGGACGAAACCACGGCCACCAAACCCCAGGGTCCCTAACCGTACAGTGTGTGTGTGTATTTACTCTGAACCCTCTGGCTGAGGTCTGTGTATGCCAGCTGTTGTGCTGTTTCCCATTGTTACCTTCTTTTTTGTTTTATTTTACGTTCCTTTTTTGTTTTGTTTTTGTTTTCCTTTGCGTGTACAGATGTGAAACATAACGAACTGAAAACTTCTAGCTTGGAAACTCTACCTGTTTGTCCCCTGCCAGCTCCTCCCTTTTTGTCGCTAAAATAAACAAGGAGGGAGAGGTTGGGCGGATTGACCCTGTGGTATTAGAATGGCGGTTTAATGAAGATCCATAACACTCTCGTAGGTTGCGTATTTAGATTAAGATGAAGAAAAAAAACGGCTCTCTTGTGAAGACGGATCAAAAGTTGGAGCCTGTTACTACCCTTGATGTACTTAACTTCCTCCCATGCTTTAAGCTGTGTGTGTAAAGTGTCATCCTAACCCCAACATAAGTTTGATTCCTTTCTGTTGTCATGCATAATAGTAATTAAGGGGATCTGTCATTGATACATGGAAGATAATGACCTAACTGAAAGGGAAGTACTATCCTAAATAAAAATGGAAATTAGACTCCAGTTTCTTGTGTTAATTTGTTCTGGTGGAAGATTTTATGCAGTAAAGGCTGCGTTAGAGATTAACCAATCAGGTTTATCCGTCAAATTTTTATAATTAGTTTTCACACATTTAAACTCACTTGCATTACCTTTTTGTCAATTTCAAGAACTTAATGTACCAGAAGAAAGGTGCTGCAGATTTTTAGTTTTCAGTTTATTTTTCTTTGACTTACAAGAAATTCCTATTTGTCAAATTACTTGTTTCAAGCATTTGATTCCACAAAAACAATTTAGCCAAACAACAAAATAAGCAGTAAATAAAATCAATGAAGATGAATAAAATAATAATCAAGATGTTTAAAGTAACATTCAAGTCAAACACCTAAGGTGAATCGTAGTGATGTTCATGTGGTTTGAGTGTAAAGTTATTCTCAGCAGCTACGGTAAAAGATTGTCTTTGCATTCAAGTTTCTATCCTATTGAAGCCGGCGTTTCCGCCACTCTGTAAAAAAAAAAAAAAAAAAAATTATCTCAATATAACGAGATAGCAACTCAACATATTGAGATACTATCTCATTACATTGAGTTAGTATCTCATTATTTGGAGTTAGTATCTGATTATAATGAGATACTATCTCTTCCATAGTATCCAAACATCCAGGAGAGATTTAAGTACGTTCAGGGTTTCTGCAGGTCATTAAAAAATCATTAAAAGTCATTAAATTATTATTTTTAAATTAAGGACTTAATTGGCATTAAAACTTATTAAATGGGATTATTGTGGCATTTAAAATGCCTTATTCAAAAAAATAAAAAGTTTATAAAAACAATTTCGTCAGATATATTGCGATATATTTACGTGGAACTGCTTCCAGTTGATCGTAAAGCTGTTTGTTCGGGAAAGAAGCTCGAGGCGGAGAAAAAGCTAGAAAATGGGGAAATTGTAAATTTCCTCAAAACTGTCTGAAAAACGAGGAATTCGGGACATGGCTGCAGCCTGTCGAGGGTAAAGATGACGAAAGATGTTGCCGTGTATATATGAGAGTCATAAGTACTTGTTGATGTCATTAAAATTATTAAGCATTCAATAAAAGTTAGTCATTCCTGTATAAACCCTGAGGTTGGATCGATTCAGATTTTCTAAAAGTTTGAAAGTAAGATATCAGAACCATGAGAAGAAAGAGAACTTAGCAGCTCCCAAGACCAGCAAGGGGCAGGTTGTAGCAGCTTCCCCAGGGAGAAGCATCATGTGGGCCACAAGGAAGCAGCTCAGCAGCTTGAGATTAACGGTTCTGACCCACGGAGCTCTGCGTGATCCCAGTGCAAGATCAGCTCAATTTAGAAGGCAAGCTGCTTGGTTCTGGACCATTTATCATTTCTCCAGGGAAAACTTATCATGCCTTAAATACAGAGCACAAATCTGAAGGTGAGGAATTTAAAATAAAAACACAAAAAAACATATTTTATAGCCTTTGACCTGATAAAACTACAAATGTTCCGTTGTTATTGTGGCTAATTGACCAAGACACATGTACTCTCAATAGGACCAGTGTACTATCTCAGTAAATGACATTTTTTGGAGAAAAAAAAAATTTGTTTTATGCAAATTCATTGACTTATAATTCATTAGGATCTCACAGGGAAATAAAACCATTAATAAAATGAAGAGAAATAAAAATGTTAAACATATCCCTTTATAATTAAATGTTTGTCAGATCCAAGTACAGCAATAAACAAACTTTTCAATGACATCTACATTTATTAAGATGCAGTTTAAATCAATGCATATTTCACATAGATGTGCTTCATAAAAGATCAGTATCTGAAGTAGTTGATTTGCTCTGAAATAAAACTGGATGAACCTCAGATCTTTGCTGTATCTAAATCTTTGACTGTTTTTCGGATCTTTCTTTCCAGCCCACTGCAGTATTTTTCAGGGATCCCTGTAGCTCTGTAAACAATAAAAAAAAAAAAAAAAAACTCAGATTTAGTCACATTTAACTTACAGGTAGGAAACCAGCTATATATAGCCTACCGCATGAGAAACAAACTCACTTCAGCTCCTTGAGTTTCTTTTCTTTGACCTCAGTGAGCCGCAGACGTCTCTGCCGCTCTTCCTCCATCAGCCGATTGGCCTCCTTGAACTTTTCCCGGCGCATGTTGAGAGCAGAGAGCTCCTGCAGCTTTATCTGATGACGAAGGGTCTCTGCGTGATGCAACGTTTCCTGAAGCTGCCTCTCCTTCAGCTCCTTCTCCTTCGCCACGGCCTCCTGCTGAGACCTGTGGAAAGAAGCACGGCAACAACTTTTTAAAAAGATCTTTTGTCTTGGGTTTAAATAAATAAAATCTTATTACTAACTTCAGTATCCTCTCAAGTGCAGCCTCTTCCCGTCTTTGCTCCATTGACAGGTTGTGCTCTTTGTTTTTAATCTGCTCCAAGCGAGCCGCCTTAAGATTGGCTTCCTCGCGGGCCTTCTTTGCTGCCAGCTCTCTCTGCTTCATCCTCCACTGTCTGTCTGCGACCTCCTGGTTCCTCCGAGCACGCTTCTCGTCCTTCCAAATTCCCAGAAAAGATTGAAATAAAAAGCTGCCGGAGGCAGATCCCCCATCGTTCCCTGAATTACCTGCTCAGCCTTGATGTCACGTTCTTTTTCCTGCATGTCCTTCAGCCGAGCGATGTCCATCTCCTTCTCCTTTTTGAGCCTTTTCTGCTCTGCTTCATATTCTTCCTCCCGCTTCTGTAATGAAAGCATCCATGCAGAACCAAGTACATGCAGGTCATCAATGGACGGATTGTAAAAATATCTGCATTGTAAATATTTTGCAAAGATTGTCATTTTGGTTTGACCAGTTTCTGTTCCAGGTATTCTGCAGCTCTCTTGTCAGCCAGCTTCTCCTCTTCTAGCTGCTTCTCCTTGGCCCGTAGGACCTCAGCATTGACTCGCTTGATCTCCTCCTGCAGAAGCTGCTGCTCCTTCCTTTTCTGCTCTTGGGCCTGGAACGAGACAGGTGTTTTTGGATGCACAGTTTGGTCAAATTCCTCGAGTTTCAGTGAGATGGACTTCTGTCTTATATCAGCACCTGGAGCTCCTCCAGCATCTTTCGCTCGTGCTCCTTGTTTATCTGATCTTTTTCAGCCTCTTTCATCATAATTAGATTTTGTTTTTCCTCCATACGTTCTTGGATCTGGTTGTACACTTGCTGATGTCCTCTGAAATGTTAGATAAAACAAAAGATTTAGCAGCTCAGACTGCTTTGTATAATTGTTTTCCACGTGCAATGAGGTAACAACAGATTCTTGAAAAAGTGAATGCCTTTAGCAAATCAGCTGTGTATGTGTGTGTGTTGGGGGTGCTCCTCTCTACTTGATTTTCTGCTCTCTGCGCAGCTCATCAATCTTCTTTATAATCTCCAGAGCTTTGCGTCGCTCCATCTCCATCATATTGTCCAGACGCTTCTCCTCCTCGCTCTGCTCGGCCCGGATCACTTTCTTTTCCTGAATCTGGTTGTCCCATGTGGCTTGGCACTGAGCGCCCAAGATCAGCTGACGGGGCACAAGCAGAATTCAGATGTGATCCAGGAAACCTTCATTTAATTCACTTTTTTAATCCGAAGCCCACGCCTGCCTCGTACTTGATTGAGCTTTCTAACTTCTTCCTCTTCCTCCATCCTTAACTCGTTGGCGTGATCAACTATGAGTTGTTCACGCATCTGCGCTTCAAGCTGCAGGTCGGTCAATGCTGGGTTTTGTTCAATAGACTGTTCTATAGCCTGGAGTTGTTTCCTTCTTATTTCAGCAGCTTCCTAGATAAGAACAACAGATGAAAACAGTAAAATCATGACCTTTAAATGCAGTATTTATTTTTTCTCCATGAGGTTGATATTGCTCACTGGGTTTTCTTCTCTCTCTTTCTCAGAAGCTTGCTTAAAGGCTTCTCTCTCCTGCTTGAGACCCGTCTTAGATTCTGAGATGATCCTTTTAATCTCAGGTGATGAAAGATCAGTGGATTCTCTCGTCCAATCTTTCCGAGGAACCCTGAAAGTTTTAAAGCAATTATATGTATAAATTGTTTAATTGGTCATTACAGTTCCTCTTTTCCAAAAAAACAAACCAACTGACATGAAGTACAACTCTTAATGATTGCTGCCATCTTTCATGTTTTTAACTTGGGTTGCAGACTAAAGTCAAACTCTTTAAGCTTTAAGCTACTGGGATGTGAGGAACTTCTGAAGACCTGACCTGATGGTCCGGATGAGGTCTCTGGAGAGGATCTGGATGGTCTCTTGTTCTTCCCGTGCTTGGCTGTGGTTAGGCTGACGAAACAGACGGATAAAAGTTTATCATAAGCACCTGTCAAAACTATACGATAAGTGGGGTCTCTACTTCTCTCCAACTGTGGTCTTATTTCAAAACACTTGAAATTCTAATTATGATATCCAAAAAGATTGGCAGGTATCGAGAAATCACAATGATTTTTTTTTTTTTTTCAATTTGAAATATTTTAAAAAGAGTTATTCACCCAGAGATCAGAATCAGGTATTTTGCATACAGTTGTTTGAAAGTTTACATATATATATATATATATATATAAGACCACAGTTGGAGAGAAGAAGTAGAGACCCCACTTATCGTATAGTTTTGACAGGTGCTTATGATAAACTTTTATCCGTCTGTTTCGTCAGCCTAACCACAGCCA